CAGGGAGCGCGCCCGTCAGGTCCACTCGGACGCCGAGGAGGTCCAGGTACTGGTTGCTGCACTCGTGCTCGTCACCGCGAGGTTCGCGATGTAGCAAATTAGATGAATCGGTTCCAGGAAGGCTTTCCGGGAACCTGATCCGACGCTGGCCTGATCTTTCTTGGCCGGGTCCTCAGACAAAGCGTCCAGGTGTTTGGTGGGGGCCTCCGCGTCCTTGTTCTTCTCAATGGCGTCCGTGATGGTGGTCCTGTTCCTGGATAGCTCCTTGGAGAGCTAAGAGGGTTTTAGATAAGAAGCAAGCAGGCAGCGCTACACCAGCTCCTCTCAAAGGCTCCTGGTCAGGCATCCCCGCAGCGGCCTGCTGGAGTTCCCAGCGTCTTCCGGCAAGCGTTTTCCTACTCGTTCCCAATACGCGTGCCTGAAACCTTTCCGCAGGTCCTTCGCAGTTCCTTCGAAGCTTGCATTGTCGAAGCTCGCAAGGCCCCTGGCATGATTTCCAGCGTCATTGCTAGCGTCTTCCACAACAAATCCTGCGCTTCGGGTTGCGTTGCTATCCGGCTTCTTGACTACGTGGTCATCACCGGACACCCCCAACCATGAGAAATCGTCTTTTCATGTGTTCGCGTCCGCAAGGCGCGCCACGTCCAGGGGAACATCGGGGCTTCGAGCGCCAGCTACCCTAACAGAAATGCAAGAACACTTCCATGTCCCATGTCGCAACCACGCAGGAGAGCAAACGTCGATCACTTTCGTCCCGAGGGCAGCGGCACCAAACCGAAGAATTCTTCCACGCGGAGCCACCACATCTGAAATTCAGACCAGGGCAATATGAAATTCAGACCGGGCCAATCTGACTTTCAGACCGGGCCAATCTGCAGACCGGGCCACTCTGAATAATTTAAATGCAGAAGTCTCAGGCAGAACGCGTCGCCCGAGCCCCTTGTGGGGGGTCAATCTGCATTTCAGACAGGGGTACTTTGAATGAGAGACAGGAGCAATCTGAACTTCAGATGCGGGAGGCGCCGCCCCAAACAAGAATGTGACATCATTTTCCTCCGCGATCAACCTGGATCGAGGGAGATGCACTACCCCGCCGTGGTGCCCGTGACAGCGCACCGACATGCAAGTCACACGAGCTCGACTATCGCGCGCGTGCGGGTCGACCCCGAGCGCGCCAACGCGTCTGCGCAGTCTACAAAAAGCCCAGACACAAAAATGAATTTGAATACTTTGATCTTGGGGGTGTCTGGTGATCGAGGTAGTGAGTTTGGGACGCCACCAATCGTCAACGTACGTGTGGAACTGTACGTCGACGCTGGCTGGCTGGCGGCTAATGCTGTAAATGCAGCGGCAAGAGGCCCAACCCGATGGCGGCGAGGCCGATGGTGAACCCCGCGCCCACGGCAGACAGCGCCGGGATCCACATGCTCGCGCCCTCCGCCGCGTAGGCCGCGGCGCCCGCCGCGCTGAGCGCCGCCGCCGGCACGGTCTGCGCCGCTGGGCGGCACGCCACGTGCGAGGGCACGAAGGCGGCCAACGGGTGGCGCACGCGAGCAGCACTGATGCGGTCAGGGCGGCGGAGCGGGGCGACGCCATTCCAGTGGATTGGCTGCAGCTCGTTCGCGCGGCCCCAGAACTCCCGGCCCTTTCTTGGGGGCCCAGACCCGTTTTTAATAGCCCCGGGGTCCGAGAACATGCCCCTGAGACCGAAATCTAAGAAAAACTCTCGGATTGAATAAATCAATGTGTCGGAGATCTGGGGTTGAGATTTTTCACGACGCCTGGATCTGTGGGATCCTCGGACCTCGGCGACGACGAGGGCCGCAGGCCGCCGCGGCGGCGCGCGGCAGCGAACACAGCACGCGCGCGCAGTCGTCCAGGTGCATAATCGGCAGCGCCGCCGCCGCCGCCACAGCCGAGGCTCGAGGCTCGAAAACATAACGACACCGCCGACCGCAGAGCGCGGCGGCGTCGGCGGCGGCGGCTGCGACTATGGCGACGGCGGCGGCGGCGGCAACGGCGGCAACGACGACGACAACAACGACGACGACGGCGACGACGACGACGGTGACGACGACGACGCCGACGGCGGCCGACGGCCGCGCGGGAAGGCAGCGGCCAAGCGCGGCGGGCGGCGCGCCCCTGGGCGGCCCCGGCAGGCGGAGGCGGCGGGCGCCGCCGCCGCGGTGGGCTGTGACAGCGGGCCGCCGCCAGGCGCGGCCTGTGGCGATCTCGCCGCCGCCGCCGTGACATCGTCACGAACACTTCGACGTAGACGTCGACGTCGACGACAACGAGGTCGTCGACGTCGTCGTCGTAACCTCCGAATCGTCGCCGTCGTCGTTGTCGCCGCCGTGGCCGCAGGTCTCCGACAATCAAATCTGATGATTGTTCGATAGGCAATTCTTTCTCGATCTCGACCTCTGGGGCCCGCCGTCGGGCCGCGAACGATCAAAAATGGTCACGGGACGAAAAAAACAATCACTGACACAATCACATCGTCGCATGTGTGGGGCCATGGCCGCCGCTGCCGCCGTCGTCGCCGCTCTCTCTCAGTCGCCGTCGCCGGGCCGTCTCATGACAGCCCTGGAGCCCGAGGACGGCCTGCAGAGGCTCAATACGCCACCCTTACAGTCTGTCCCACACCGTACACACGCATACCCACAGGTAAGTCTGTACATACATGTGCAAATTCATACCAACCTACCTACCTACCTACCTACCTGCCTACCTACCTACCTACCTACCTACATACATACATACAGACCTGCATGCACGAATGCTGGCAAGCATGCATACATACATTAATATATGGATACATGCATACAAACCTGCATGCATGCATGTACACAACCATATATACGTACGTACGTACATACATACATACCTGCATACATAGATACACACACCGATCAGTGTAGACACGCATACATGTTACATGCATGCATCCATACGTATACATACATATGTACATACACGCATACGTTCATACACATTCATATGCATACATCCATACATGCACACATACATGCATTCATGCACGCACACGTGCATACATTCACACACACACACACTGGCAAACATGCGTGCATACATACGCACATATATACAGATATACAGACATACATACTACATATACATACATGTATGCATGTATGCATGCCTACAAGCATGCGAGCACATACAACACATTAGTACATTCGTACATCAATGCATACAGTCATACACACATGCATGTATGTATACATACATGCATGTATGGAACCATGCACACATACAAGCATGCATGCAAGTATACAAACATTGCAGGGATGACGATCCATAACAGCTTCGGCGGGGACACCCCACTCCACTCAGTCCAGGCCTGCACGGGCCTTGCTCAGGGGACCACTTAGGGCCCAAATCATGCACTAGGGCCTCTATGGGCCTAACGCTCACGCCAGGGCCCCCTTGGGCACTGGCCTACTATCTGGCCGCCTCGGGAGGGGCCGTACCCTCACTGACGCCTGCACGCCCCCACGGCGCCTCGTCGAGGCACGTCACCTCGCTCACCTTGCCATTGGCCGCAAGCTCAATTCACCCGTGGCTCGCCTCGGGCAGCACAATGAACCTCGGCGTCGTGTGCTTCCACTTGTACGTGCATGGCGATTGACTCGCCTTCTCCTCCGTCGTCGGCCTGTCCGTGAACTTCACCTTGTTGCTCAGCTCATGTCTCCGATTCGGCGCATTCGTATGCTTTACCAGGTTTTGCTTCGTGGTGCTGTCCATCTTCGCCCACCACTTGCAAATCAAACACCCGAGCAGTGCTCCTGCCACGAACGTTGTCATCATCGCGATCAGGATGATCATTGTCGTGTGGTCGTCGATCCAGTCCTGCAGCTTTGCAGCCTCCCAGAGGGTAACTGCACCCTGGTCGAGATCTCGCACTGCGCATTCACTCGCCTTGGTCGCACCGCCCGTCACTCCTTGCGCGAGCAGTGTCGCCAACAAGCCTTGCTTAGCCCAGGCGCTCGTTGTCACCGAGCACGCCTCCAGCTCCTTATGCTTGTCCATCTCGCTGCAGTCCATGGTGCCAGCGAGTTCTCGCAGGTACTCGAACCGCTCCGTGGCATGCGCCTTGGTCCCTAGGTCGGCCACGTTCTTTGTTCCAATCTCCTTCTTGATGATCAGTCCGTGGACCTTGCGCTCCAGCTGGATCCACAGCGCCCGAACGTCCAGGTGCTTCACCTTTCCGACGCCCTCGCGGTTGATCATCGCCTTCGCGGCGCTGCTGTCGACCCCGAGCTCCCAGGTCACCTTGTAGCCCAACCACTCTAGCATGTTCTTCACCAGCTTGCCGTCCATCACCACCGAGGTCGCGCCGTAGAACTCCGCCTCACCTGAGGATGTGCTCTGAACTCCTTGCCTCTTTGCGAACGCTGCAAAATGCACTCCGTCCAGCTTTGTGATCCCACAGGTCATCGCACGCCTCGTCTCCTTGCACGTCGCGAAGTCCGTGTCTGTGAACAACTGCAGCTTCACTGCTCCAGGCTTGCTCCCAGTTGGCTTTTCCATCAGCACTCCATACGTCTTTGTCCCCTTCAAGTACCCCACCAGCTTCACCAGTCGCTTCCTGTCAAACTCCGTCGGCTGACTCAGGTTCCTGGTCAGCATCTGCACGTCCCGCTGGATGTCCGCTCTGTCGGGCGAGATGTAGAGCGCGATCCCGACTCCTGTGCGAAACTTCGCCCTCTCGATCTCGTCCAATTCAGGACTCCATGTCGGGTCCTCCTCAATCAAGCTTGGTACCCTCGTCGGCTTGGCCTTCTCCATGCCCATTACGCAGATCAGGTCGTCGATGTGCTTCACGTTCAGCCTCAGCATGATGTTGCCGTTCATGAGCCTCAGCCTGTCCCGCTTCAAGTGCGAGTAGCGTCCCTGCCTGATGACATCCGTCGCTTTCAGGTCGAACACCTCCCGCAGCCGCTTGATATCCCCTCCAGGCTGCTGATTGGACCCTCCCCGTGGAAGTCGTCCATGTGCACCTCGATCAGGATCTTCTTCCCTCTGTGGTAGTAGAACTGCGGCTGACACTCACTCCTGTCGAAACCCTCTCCCTTCAGGGTCTTCGCCGCCTTGTCCACCCAGCCAGCGCCTGCCACGCGCTGCCCAGGTAGCATCTTGTTGAGCGCCCAAACGATGTCGGTCGGTCTGCCCATCTCCGCCAAGATCGCCAGATACTCAGCAGGTGGCTCCACGCAAACCTTCTCAGTCTGGTCCGCTTGGTAGTACGCCTTCACGCAATCCGCGATGAAGGTCCTGTGGTTCTCCTCTTTGATGCTGACGAAAGTCCACCAGCCTGCTCGTCTGTGCCGATGAGCTCGCTGCGAACACGTCGTCACGCTGCTCCATCCACTTGAGCTCCTGCGCCACATGCCGCCACTTGCATATACCTCCTCGCATCTGCGGCTCCCAGCGCGCCCTGATCCTCTTGAACTCACCGCTCTCGCTCCTCGGGACGTCCCTATGCACCCCGTAGTGTGCCAGCACTTCTAGTGCCTCGCGCTTGCCCTTGAGCCCCACCGCGGGCTCCAGTCCGCTGACCCTCATGTAGCAGTCGGTGCCCATCCTGTCCAGGATGCTGTGGTCGATAGGGTCGTCGAGCGAGATGGCGTCCACGTGCTTCGCGCGCTTGCCTGGTGCGCCGAAGTCTTCAGCGTCGGCAGGTCTGACAAGACCTCGATGTGTCATCGGCGCGTCCGCATCCGTCGTGCTCTTCTCCTCTGGTCTCGCTGCCGCTGCCGCTCCAGCTCCAGGTCCCGCGGGCGCCACCGATGGCCCCGCGCTCGCTGCTGCAGCCGGCTGCGCCCCCTGCTCGGGCGCCCCCTGGGGTGGCGCCGCCTCGCGCGCTGCCTCCTGCGCCTCGGTCTTCGCCTTCTGCTCCGCCGCCGTCAAGACGATCGTGGGCATCGGCCTCTGAAGCCTGGGCAGTAGCTCGCACGGCTTGGCGCTCCTCGCGTCCCAGGGCAGGGCCTTCACTGCTTTCATCTGCTTGTCATCTGCCCGCAATGCTGGCTCCAGCCGCCTGCATGTTCTTGCGCGGTGCCAGCCCGCTGGCGTCAAGAACAAGTGGTCGTCGCTCTCCTTGTGCTTCCCGATCCAGATGCCCTTCGCGAAACTCGACTCGCCCTTGCGCTTCAGGGACGTAGCCGTGATCTGCCTCGTGTGGGAGATCGGGGTCTTGAAGAGAGCCGTCTCGCCAAAGGGGAGAAACTCTCCGTTGTAGGTCACTCCGTAGGCTGCCTGATGGGACGCCCCCCCATCGGCTCGTGGTCGGTACGTGGACGTAGCCCAGCTAACGTACCGTGTAAGCCAACACCAGATCGGTGCGCCCGCTGTGATCTTCATGCCATAGCGCTTCTCCAGGTCGAATTTGTACGTCCTCACCTTCGCCTGAAACCATCTGATCGGAGCCTCAATCGCGCCCATGCTCTGGCTGTCCTTCAGGTTCCCACGCTTCTCTTCTAGCTTGATGCTCTTGCTCAGCCTCTTCCGCACCTCCTCCACCAGGCTCGCGATCGTGGGATCGCCGTCCGTCTTGATGTCCGCCGTCGTGAGATGCATGCCCTCAATGAAGCTGCTCACGCTGGCTATTGCGTAGTCCGTGACCGCCTTGGTGGGCGTCGAGACTGCATCGAACACCAGCGTGTCCCTGTCAGCCATCACGAGCGTCGTCGCGAAGATGTCCGCCGCTGGCGGCTCCTCATCTCCGATCTCCGCCCAGTCGCCGTTGGTCTTCAGGTAGCAGAAGTCCAGGGTGATCTGCGCCTTCCCAGAGTCCTTCTGGTCGAACGTGAGGGTCTTGCGCGGCTTGGTCGTCTCGTTCCCCCGCGCGCAGGCCTCGCACCACGGCGCTCTCGTGAGGTGCAGCAGTTCATGAGCTGCTCGTTCTTCATCCGTGGGCGCTGCTGGCCCTGCTACTTCTCGCGGTGCTATCGTGGGTCCTCCTTGGACGGACTCCTCGTGCCTGCGCCCCAACTCCTTCATCTTCAGGTGGTGTGCCGTGAGCCTCCGCTCCGCATCGCTGAGTCTGGCCCATCTCCTTGAGCCCTGCCCGCGCGTCCTCCACGCGGCTGGAAGGGTGCAGGACGATCTCCTGCCCTTCGCGTAGCACCACGGGATGTCGAGCCAATCGCTCTCTTCCCGCGCTCACAGCTGCTCCACCTCGCTCTGGAGCCGAGGCGGCAGCCGCAGGTGCAGCCGGTGCCGCTGTCGCTGCTCCGCTGCCCGCAGCCCCAGGCGTCGGCACGAACGCCTCCTCCTGCTGCTCATTCGCGTTCACGCTGGCCGCGAACTCCTTCGCCTCCGTAGCTGTCTTGAGGGTCTTCGCGTTGAATCCCAGCGTGTTGTTCTTCCTGGTGAGCGGGATGCCCTTGCTGAGGTCACCGCCAAGGTACATGCACATGCCCGTCTTCGCGCTCAGCCAGAACTCGGCACCCTTATCCATCACCTCCAGCAACGAGAGGATTGGCTTCGATACCGTGTCACCTAGCCTGAAATCTGCTTTCAGCAACTTCAGCTGCTCGCACTCGTCAGTAACCGCCATCGGCACCGTCGCAATGGAGTCCATCTTGATCTCGTTGCGCTGCGCGTCCAGCAGCCTCGGGCCGTGATCCTCTCCTCTTCTGCACCCTTCGCAGAAGAAGGTCGGCCCCGCGTGGCAGTCACTCGCGGTGTCCAACGTGATGAAAGTCGTCTCCACGAGCTCCATGCCGCAGCACTCCGTCTCGGGATCCTCCGCCTCCATCGCCATGCAGTAGAGCTGGTCGTCGTCGCAGATCCCGCACTCGTACTCCGCGTACTCGATCTTGGCCACCGTCTTCGGGTCCGTGTTCTCCTGCTCAATGGCCGCGTTGCCTTTGGACCTCTCATCGGCGATTCGCTTCTTGCAGTCCGCCTTCTCGTGGCCCGTCTTATGGCAATAGTCGCACTTCCCCGAGAAGGTGTAGCCGTCCTTGCCCTTGCCTTTGGCGTCCTTTCCGCCCCTGGTTCCCGCGGCTGCTCCTCGACCTTTTCCGTCGCCCTTCTGCTTCCCTTTGTCACGCCAGAAACAGTCGCGGGCCGTGTGACTTGGCTTGTGGCAGATCTGGCACTTGTCCTTGCCGTCATTGCCTTTGCCCTTGGAGATCGCGTCGACGTCCATGTCGTTGCTCCCCTTGTTCGCTGTCGGAGGTCGCAAGACCACTCCACTTTGGCCGATCACCGCCTCGAAGATGCAGTTCCTCATCTGTGTGATGTCGCTGCGCACCTCGCGCTGCGCCGAGCGTAGCATGACCTTCACTTCCTCTGGTGCGTGGGCCATGATCGTGCTCGTCTTCATATTCTGCGTGACCTGCTCTCCGGTCGCGCGCTCGTACCTTGAGATCAACTCGTCCCAAGCGATCAGCACCTCCGTGAAGCGCTCCTTCCCCTCGCGATCCTTCCACCATGTCGGCGTGAGGATCTGCTGGAGCATCTAGCCGTGCTCCTCATTCAGTCGCGGCCTGTACTCCCTGTACAGCCTTCTCATTGCCTCGAAGCCGTCGCCTCGCGGGCAGAGCTTCACGACGCTCTGCGCCGTGCCTTTCGTAGTGCTTGCCAGCAGGTGGTACAAGCTCCTCCCTACCAGCACTCCCTGCTCGCCGAGGTCGTCCGCGGTCAACGGCTCCTCAGCGTCCCTTGATCGCTCCAGGCCCGCCGTCCAGCCCAGCAGGCCACAGTATGACTCGAACGGGAAGATCCAATCCTCGAAGTCTTCCCTCTTGCCTGAGAACGTCGGCACCTTGCCGATCCCACGTGAGTCTAGCAGCTGCACCCCAGCTGCTCCATTGTCGGCCGCCATGGCGCGCTGGCGCCACTGGCCTGAAGGGTAGGTTCAGGCAACCTCACGAACTGTCACCATGCAGAGATGACGATCTCACTCGATAGATCATCTTCGAGCTATAACAGCTTCGGCGGGGACACCCCGCTCCACTCAGTCCAGGCCTGCACGGGCCTTGCTCAGGGGACCACTTAGGGCCCAAATCATGCACTAGGGCCTCTATGGGCCTAGCGCTCACGCCAGGGCCTCCTTGGGCTCTGGCCTACTATCTGGCCGCCTCGGGAGGGGCCGTACACTCACTGACGCCTGCAAACATACACACATACATACATACATACATACATACATGCATGCATGCATGCATGCATGCATACATATATACATACATACATACATACATACATACATACATACATACATACATACATACATACATACATACATACGTACATGCATACCTGAATGCGTTCGTGCGTCCTCGGGTGGGCGGCGTCGTGGCCCGACTAGCTCGTGAGACACCACACCGTGGATGCATTGCGATGTGAGGGGGAACGTGCGTCACCAAGTGACGGCCAGGTGCTCCACTGTCCAGCCCCGGCACCACCCCCCAGTACCGGCGTAGGGAGTCGGGGGGGGACGTGGCCACTGAAGGAGGAGTAGCGAAAGGTCCCGCGTCCCACCGGTAGGTTGGGGCCTCCAGCTGGGCCAGACGTACGATGGACAAGGTGCGGGGTCACTGCCGGGGGCGCAGGATAGCTCCCTGGCGTAGTGCTCCTGCACGGCATGGGACCACGCTGCTCGCAGACGGGGGCAAATCCTCCCGTCTTGAAGACAGTGACGCATCCTGTAGGGTAGTTAGGAAGGGCTCTTGCTGCAACGCCCGTAATTATGCGACGGCACGGCGCAGCGGTGCGAACGGAAGTGGAGGATGCGTCGCGCTGGAAGCCCAGGAATAAGGCGCGGGTACCTGCTCCCGTGCCAGGGAGCCGGACGTGGGTGCGCATCCACCCTACTTCCCGACGGACGCGCGGACAAGGGCGGGTGGGCCGCAGGAGGTCCTGCCAGTCACCATGCGTATGCGGGCCCTGGTCCTCCATTCGCGTCTCATGCGTGGCGGTCGGCATCCACGCTATGGAGACGCTGGCGGGGAAGCTGGTGAGCTGCTCAGACGTGGAGAGGTTGGGGTCGGCGTGCTGCCCGCCTAGCAGGTTGGGTCTGTGCTCGTAGATCCATCTCCTCCAGCAGAGGGTGGCTTCCTGCGACATCGGGCACACCCTGGCCCGCATGGCGCTGGCGCGACTGATTAAGTCTTACTGGGCTGCCTCGTCTCTTGGGTTGCTGGCCACAGGTGGCAGGATGTTGATGGCGAGCGCGCGCTGCTTGGCCGGAGAGGCGCCGTCAGCAGACGACGAGGCTTGCTCCGACCGCGGGCGGGCGCGGGCCGAGCCAATGGCGCTTGAGGAAGGACGAGCGCCGGTTGGCGCCATCACGTCTGAAGACCCTAGACGCGGGGTGGGCGACTGCGGGTAGGATGCAGGCGGCACTGCAGGGGGTGCGCCCGCCGCAAGTGGGAGAGGCGGGGGCCGGGGGACCGACCCTTGGCAAGGGCGTGACTGATCAAACTGAAGATGCGGAAAAGAGCCGTGGAGAGACGGGCGCCAGCTCCCGCTGGAGGGCGGGAGGGCGGAGGTACCCGTGGTGGTGCGGTCGCCCGGCGCCATGGCGTGGCTCGAGGGCCGTTGGCCGATGGCGGGAGGACCGGGGCGCTTACGACCTCAACTGGGGAGGAGCACGTGGAAGGCTGCCTGGCAGGAGAAGGCGCCTTCCCGGTGACGCGGGTGCCAGCCCCGATAGGCGCTGGGAATCGACGCTGCGCTTTAGCCTGCGGTGGGTCGTCGGAGCGGGTAGAGTCATCCGACTAGTCCGCCCAGCACACCCGGCAGGAGAGCTGGACTTGGCGGCCGCGGGGGCCGGGTCGTCCGCGGCGGCAGTAGGCAGTGGGACAAGAGCGGCAGATGGCGGCAGGGCGCTTCACAACAGGTTCCGCTTAGGAGGCTTGGGCTGCTGGCGGACCATTCGCGTGGCGAGGGCGCGCCGATCGTCGAAGTCGATAGTGTGCCAGTCGTCCAACTCCCATGACCCCCATCCCGCCACGAAAGCCGCCAGGTACTCGGGGTGGTTGAGTCTGGGGTCGGCGTGGGAAGTAAGGCCTCTGAAGGCAACGGCCAGGAATTCCTTCCGAGGTCGGGCCTGAGTCCTCCTGATGGCGGCTACCCTATCCAGAGGGTGGGCGCTGTCGGGGTCGCAACCATGGGGGCGGTCAGTCGGCGGAATCGTGGTATCCGTAGCGACGAGGATCCCCAGGGAGGCCTAACAAGGCGAAGAAGAGGGACGGGCAGCGGTATCGGTGAAGTCAAGGAAAGCTGAATAAGAACGAAGCTCCTTTTTGGCGACCCCATAGTAGGCCAGGTGCACGAGAAGCGCCACAGGAGCGACCATGTAAGAATCTGAGAAACATCGAGCCCCTTCCGAACTCGAACTGCTTCATATTTCAGAACTTTAACTGTTGGAGGCCTCTCAAACGGGGTCCGAGCAATGGGGTCGGAGGATGGCGCCGCATCGCCGATGCATCGGCGACTTCGGCAATGCATTGGCGATGTCGGCGTGAAGAAAATTGGGCGCCGCATCGAGCCACATCGCCGATGCATCGGCGATGCGTCACGACCCTCCGACCCAATTGAGGAGGCCTGGGACAGTACCAGGCCAGCCACAACTGGGGAGAGCTATTGCCCATCGGGTCTGGCACCGCACTCGAGAGATCGTCGATACGATGGCGATGGGGTTCCCCAGGGGGGTAAGGAACACAGCTCCGTGGCTGGTCGGTGCATCTTAAGACGAAGCTGGGACCTGGACAACATCGGGCAGGGACAAATCGGGGATCCCTGAGATACGCCGGTTATGGAGGATGCACACGGTGCCATGGCCGTTCCAGAGCGCTCTGGAATGCTCTAGGAGAGCGCTCTGGAACGCTGTGGAACGCTCTGGGACAAATCCGCCGACCCCTTGGGGTCACGGCGTGTGAGATGCTTCCCCCTCCCCAAACCCCTCCCCCGGGGGCCTGGTCCAGCCGATTTGGAGGGGGAAGGGGGGGGGGGGGGGGGGGGGGGGGGCAAATCCATCATCCGCGCGCACTTGGAGCCTCAGGAGGCCCCAAAACGGGCCAAAAAGGTTCCAAAGGTTGCCGGAACGGTCCAAGAGAGCTACGAATCGACCTAAGATCGCCCCCAACGCCGAAGATTGCCTCCAAACGGCTCCAGAAGTCCCCAACACGTTTGAAACAATATTACGAGGCGCCCCAAAGAGGCCCTCCAGAAGCCCATTCCCTAGGGAAAAGGTACATTTTCACCACATTCGCCCATTCGGCTTCCACGCGACGCAAAACGGCCCAAGAAGCCTCCAAGATCACCCTCGCCAGCCCAAGAGGCTCCCAAAAAGACTTCAAGACGGCGTCCGGGCGATCCACGAAGGCCCCAGAAACCATAGCAACGGCTTAGGAAAGCCGCAGAACGGTCCCAAGAGGGCTCCAAAACGGGGAAGAGGGCCCCCAAAGGCTGTCCGGACGGCCCACGCGAGGGACGATTCGGTCCAAACCGCCCAAGATCGCCGCCAGACGGCCCCACGGGTGTCCAAGACGTTTGAAAAGGCGATCACGAGGCGCTCCAAGCAGGCCTCCACAAGCAAAAACCGTCCCGTTCCCTGCGTAAAACGCACATTTTCAGCACATTCGCTTCTTGGGTTTTCACGAGGCCCACAACGGCCCAATAAGCCTCCACGACGGCCTCCGGGCGCCCCACGAAGGCCCCAGGAACCATAGCAACGGCCCGGGGGAACGGCAGGACGGTCCAGGGCTCCGAAACGTGTCTAGAGGGGCCTCACAGGCTGTCCGGACAGGCCACGTGGGGGACGATTGCTGCCGCCCGCCAATGAATCATCCTGGTCCTGAGCCCGCCCGTGTGAATCCCCAGACGTTCAATGTCTTGACTGTTTCATCACCAGGCACCCAGAAATCCCAAACCTTTCCGCAGGGCCAGCTTTTCATCGTGCGTCGTGTTTTGACTGTCCCGGGGCCTGGCGAAGGCCCCTGGAGGCCGACAACAGAAGTCTTGGAGTGCATCTCTTCCTCCTCTGACAATGTGCCCCTCCCGCCTGGGCGGCGGCGGCAAAGGGGGCGGTGGGGGGCAGCACGGCCGGCGGGCGGCGCGGCAGCTCCTTCGAGGCCTCCGCCGCCGCCTGCGGCCTCACCCGTGGGCTCCTCCGCGACCGCGCGCGGCCCTCCTGGCCTCGGCGTGGCAGTTTGGGGCCGGAGGTTTTCCCCGACGGAGTCGGCCCACTCACACTCCGTGCGCAGGGAACAATCCCACTCACACTCTGTGCGAGGGAGGGAGGGGTCAAAGAGCCAACCCAGCCCGAGATCCGCAGGGTGAAGACGATAGAGAGTTCCCTTTCTGAGACGAAGAGAATGCATCAACGTCAACGAAACTCTGGCCCAAATCATCCCACCGTCCATCACGTCGCCTTCAAGAGACTCATCATCGCCTGGTCATCCCATGGTCCATCAAATCGCCATCACGGGTTTGCGCATGCCAACTGCCTGG